TCAACGACACCATCACACACATCACTTTATAGTTATAATTATATTTGATTTACATATAAGTGATACCATTCGATAACACTCGTTGTGTACTTTCCATTGATGTCTATCATCATATTCATACAATCATTTATTACAGATAAATACAGAACGAGGCTGGGTCGACCATTGCACACATTACCTCAACTTTGGCGCCCGATCCACAATCAATCAATTGAGTGTCATTTTGATTCACAAATCTCATAATAGTGGAGGTTTTTGACTCTGAAATAAGTATCGCGTCAGTCACTCACCCACTTTTATATATTTAATCCATTCAGCCAACCCAGTGACCACAATAGTGGGTGAAGTGGGTGTTTGATGGGAGGGCGCCATGATTTAACTACATAAAACCTCACAATCACTTAATAGTGGATGTTTTTGACTTTTATACATCATCACAATGCTGATTCATTCTATCTATGTTGTTAATCCCTCTCTCTCTCTCTTCACTCTCTTCTCTCTCTCTCTCTCTCTCTCTCTCTCTCTCTCTCTCTCTCTCTCTCTCTCTCTCTCCCCTCTCTCTCTTTTTGTATAATTGTATAATCATAATTAATGTCACAACAACAGCGACGCAACACCAGACAATTCGAGAGCATATCTATGCAAGATGAATCCCTATACATTGCAATTGCTACAATCGTTTCCAATGCATTGTATGAGGTTGAGGAGATAGATTACAATATAATGCAAAACATTGTCAAGGAGGCAGGATTTACCGATGAGCAATTTAATATGTTCTATTCTATCGCAAGCTCGAGAGGACATTTTATCGACGGTGACGGAGAAGAAGACGGTTCAGAGGATGTCGACAGTGATAGAGAAGAATACGGTTCAGATGAGGATGTCGAAAGTGACAGCAACGAGGATGATGTGTGGCAACCACCAGCAAGACCAAYGAAGATATYTAGAGCTGAGGCACGATTGGACGTGGACGCAAAGACAGATGATGATGTAGGGCAAGCAACAAGACCAACGAAGATATCTAGAGCTGCGGCACGTTTGGACGCGAGGGCAGATAGGTTGGGCATACCATTGAGGGCTATGAAGGGTCTTGTCCGCGATGTAGGCAAAGAATACAAGACAGACTTGCGCTTCGAGAACAAAGTATATGAGGCTCTACGTGTGGCATCAGAGGATATGATCACATCCATATTTGTGAGTATGTATGATTGATGAGTGGAGCAACACAACACCATGCAATTATCATTTACACGACACGACCCAAACATCTAGACGCCAAGAAGATTGCGACCGAATCAAAGAGACCTCAAACTGTCAAGCAGTCTGACGTTTTGTTGGCAATTAATATAATGAACTTGGGTAATCAACTAACTACCATTCATACACCACCTACCACACACCATAATGATCAAACATGAAGATTCGACGGAATCACCATTTTCACAACTTTTTTTGGCGCGAAGACTATGTTAGCGAGACCTGGCACTCACTCATACACAAGTCCTTTATTTGGGAGGGGGAGATCATATTCTCTATTGCTAGCTAGCATCAACAGGATAGATACAAAGATATGTACAAATAAAACATACATTGCATATAATATATAATGTTGGGAGAAAAGCGAATACTAGAGAGAGAGGTGTTGACGACTATATCACCTTCACTGAATGGCAAGACGATGACTTCTACGAATGGTCCCGCATTCAATTTGGCAAGGACACATCCGATCTTCTGAGACAGCATGAAGTAAGCGCCAATGTGTTCTGTGACTACACAGAGGGCGAAATCTCATCACATATAAATTTCATCACATATAAACTCCATCACATATAAATTCCATCACATATAAACTTCATCACACATAAATATCATCACATATAAATTTCATCACATATAAGTCACATCACATATAAATATTTATTGCTTCAACAGCAAAGCCTTATTAGAGAATGGATAGTGATTCCTTGTATCGTTATTTCGATGGCACAGGACACAAATGCACACAATACTTCATGAAGAATGTTGTTAACTACGAGCTGAGACCATTGAACAGTAAGCAGGTTGTATGGAACAAGCTCAACAAGACCTTTGTTCCAAGAGAAGATGATGTGGATGACATCATCAGAACCCATCACATGGGACAGGGCGTTCACCTTCACCGAGGTGTCCTGGCCACTGTCACATCAATATCTCATCTCTACACCATTAACAGTATGTGCCACATCTCGATGATCGACATATATGCCCATACTCACTTATACGTAGATATCAATGTTAGGGTCCGTATGTTCATCAAGCTTTGTCATACTTGCCAAGGTATATCAACGCAACCAACTTCGAATCAACACACAGAGCCCTTGCAACAACAACAACAGCAACAGCAACAGCAACAGCAACAGCAACAGCAACAGCAACAACCTCCATCGCCAAACGAGGGGAGCAGCGACAGTAGTTTTAGCAACCCCTCATCACAAATTGATCAAGATTCCATGGGGAGTGACAATACAGACGACGAACCGGAACATGGCGATGATGATGCTGATAAAGATGACGACGAACCGGACAATGATCCGATCTGCGCATATGAGGAACGTTCCATGTCGGGTATGTACTCAGTGCGACAAATCTCTCCCTCCACAAGGCCCAAGGCCCATATAGCCATCTAATATAATCAATCACACCACCACCTTAGAAAAGGACATTCTCATCCAAAGAATCCACATGATGCTCATGTTAAAGGACAACAACGCACTAAGAGTCTTTTCCTTACCAGCCTTCAACCACAGATCAGCCAATGAAGTTAGTGCCCTTTCAAAGACCTACAAGAAATACTCGCTGTACCTGCACCCAGACAAGAACACACAAGGCACAACAGCCAAGCAACTAGCTCGCATACAAGAAGCATTCAAGCTCATGAAGAACGCCTACGAGTCATTGATCACTGGATATAAGACCATTAAAAGGGACTAATCTTTGTGCGGGCACATTTAAACACAGATTGTTCCCGCTTCAATCATTTGCGGGGATAAATCGCATTTAGTTTATTCTCGCACTATTTTATGAGGGAACATTTGAAACACAGATTGTTCTCTCGGCAAGGTTACCCATTTTGCGCGCCACTTTTGAATCGAATCAAATTTAGAGTGTCGTTTGTTTGGGAGCGGAGACCATCATCTCTCTATTGCTGTCATCAACAGGATAGATACAAAGAAAGATATGTATACAATAACATATACATTACACATAATTCATAATGTCAGGAATAAACAAGCGAGCATTAGAGAGAGACTATAACTATAGCACCTTCTGTCAATGGACAGACGACGACTTCTACGAGTGGTCCATTAGTCTATTTGGCGAACATACGACCAAGATGCTGAAGAAACAAGAGGTGAACGCAGAAGTGTTATGTGACTACACGGAGGATGAACTCAAGGCACTTGGAATCTTGTCTGGGTCGATAAAGAAGATCATTAAGTTCATACCATCGATCAAGAAGGCGATTGAGGATTATACAGTGATGAGCGACCCCAGCATATACACCCCCATCAAGCGCGCCGAGGTGGTCTTCAGGAGCTTTCTCGCACCTGGCAAGACAACAATCCCATTTAGCTCATTGACGGCAACACAGCTTCCACCTCTGACACGTGGCGTACTCGAGTTCACCAACATTCAACCGCTATCTGGTGGGGAAGTTGGTACATACCTTGAACATCTTAATTCGATGATAGACGCCGGCTTTGCACTCAATGGAACCAATGAGGCGACAAGGAAGATTCACGTCAGTTTCTTGTTGGCAAATGCTTGCAACATCTTCAATGGGTCGAGGCCGGCACCCATCGCCCGTGTGGAGGCGGAGAGTCCATTGGGAAATAGCACTGCCACCATTACTCGTGGTGTAGCCGATTACATCATCTTCGTTAGGAAGGTTCCCATCTGTGTGATTGAGGTCAAGAATCAAAACTTCGACAAAGGGTCGCTACAGGTCATAGGAAGTGCACACAATATCTTCTCCACCCATGGTAGGGAGATCAAAGTCGTCTATGGCATCTTGACCGATGGTATCACATGGGTTTTCCAGCAAGTGCGTCCGGGCAATGTCAATGAATCGATGTTGGTACACCCTGTCCTTGATAGGTTCAGGTGGACTGATGACATGGTCAAGAACACTCTCACAAGAATCTGTGCGCTGTTGGACATGATCGAGACGGATATTGGGGACATTGCACCTGCACCGACGATAACGACTACAACAACCAAGTAGAACTCCCCACTATTCAGATGATGGGCCTGTAAGTAATAAACAAACAACATGGCTCTTATATATAAGAGGTTTATTCATCAGCGCCCGTCTGTTCCGAATCAGTTCAATCAAGAGGATACTGTTTGGCAGATTTGTCAATGATTGGTGTGCACATTGTGCAATTATCCACGCCTACTTTTAAATTTATTCGGCTTCTTGGGAATCCTCGCTCTTGCTGCATTCAGTCTATTTGTGAAACTGTTTCCAAAAAACCTTTGTGTGGAACGGTCGTATAGTAGTTCGCTCATATTTTCCAGACAACTGCATTTGATCATCTCCTTGCATCTGGCGCACGCAGCGGTTACTTTCATGCCCATACATCCTGGGGGATGCTCCTCGTTGTTGGCGTTATTATTATTATTATTGTCATCGTCATCATCATTCTCGTCATCGTCATCATCATCATCATCATTCTCGTCATCGGCATCGTCATATTCATCTAACTCTTTCGTCTCTTTCGTCTCTACGTCTTCATGTGACCGGTGTCCCAGAGATTGTTTAAGTTGCGCAATGGAATCAATGCCAACAGGAGGAGTGTGGGTATCGACAGATTTAAATCTGGGAGCTGCTGTAAAAGTAATTGGTGTCGCATCCGTAGTTTGAGGTGATTCGTCATACTGTATAAACCACTCTTCAAATGCGTCGAGGAGGCTGACGGGGTTCGTATCGAATTTGAAGACATCGACTCCACCATGTAGAGGACTGTTGATTATGGTCATACATATTGAGAGTAGCTTGCTCTCTATATCCACTACGTCGTACCTATGATCTCCCACCTTTGGTTTGAGAGGGAAGAGGCACCATCCTATAGTATTATCTATAAAAATCTTTTTTCTCTGATGTGTCGTTATCCTATCGTATATGCTATAAGTTGAGCTCCCAATATATGCTGGAACAAGATGTGTATTTCCCTTTTGTTGGAAGGATTGGAAGAAAATATAAACTCCTGGTATTGATGTGTCCATTTTTGATGGTGATTTGGCAAATGGTGCACAAATCCACTTATGTGTGTCCACCGCTACATGTCCCGGAAGGATAATATTGAGAGCAGCACTGATTTTCTTACTGCTGATAGCTTGAGGGGCAATGAGCATTATGAGAAGTATTATTATAGTATACAGAGATAGAGATGTCATTTTTGTTGTGCGTCTGTGTGTGTTGTGTTGGATGACAAATGGAAGTGATTGCTTTGCCTTTGCCTTTGTGCTTTCATGCCTCAAAAACACAAAACGCGCTTAAAACTTAAAAAATAAAATACAACTAATCAATGAAAAAAAAGAAAAGAAATTGGCAACAAAACAGCAGCAACGCACTCGAGGAGAGAGCGCACTACGAATTTGATTGTATTTTGTATTGTCAGAGCCTAACTAATCCAACTACACAATGTTAATATTACTACCAACTTACGTTCTAAGAATAATTTTGCTACATCTTGACATTATTGATGTATTATGTTTTCTCTTAGTAAGCAGAAGCATCTTCTCACTTCATAAACTCATCGCACCGTCACTGAAGCACCACTTTGGAGCTATACCATCATCATCACCTTCACGACAACCGACACCGAAGAAAGAAAGCCTATATAAATACCTGTCTACGTTTTCTAAAGAGCTCTCAAAACCAAACCCTTGGAGTTTGCACGAGCTTCCTCAAGCCGGAGAAGATTTACCACAATTATCACTGCCCTATTTCAACAAACCTCTTCAAGTTGGACAACTACCCCAATCATTGACACAACTGTCACTTGGTGAATTCGATCAACCCCTTCTAGTTGGACATATTCCTCAGTCAGTGACACAGATGTCAACGAGATGTTTCAATCAACCACTTCAAGTTGGGCACATACCACAATCAGTGGTACAACTGTCACTTGATCATTTCAACCAGCCACTCCAAGCTGGACACATACCACAATCAGTGGTACACCTGTCACTTACTCATTTCAAGCAGCCACTTCAAGTTGGACACATACCTCAATCAGTGGTACACCTGTCACTTGATCATTTCAAGCAGCCACTTCAAGTTGGACACATACCACAATCAGTGACACATTTGTCGATCAGTGGTGAGTTCGATCAATCACTCCAAGTTGGATATATACCACAATCAGTGACTCATCTGTCAATGGACTTTTTCTACCAGCCACTTCAAGTTGGACACATACCACAATCAGTGACACATTTGTCATTTGATATATTCGATCAACCTCTTCAAGTTGGACATATACCACAGTCAGTAACACAATTATCAATGTCCCGTTTCAACCAACCACTTCAAGTTGGACACATACCACAATCAGTAACACAATTATCAATGTTCAATTTCAACCAACCACTCCAAGTTGGACACATACCACAATCAGTGACACAACTGTCACTTGGTGTATTCGATCAACCACTTCAAGTCGGACATATTCCACCGTCAGTGATACATCTGGAATTGATACTTTTCAATCATCCTCTCCAAGTTGGACACATGCCACAATATGTTTCAAGTTTAACTTTTGGCAGAGAGTTCAATCAACTTCTCAAAACAGAGTACATTCCATCAGTTAGATCACTGTCTATTCAATGCCCGCAATTTTCTCCCGAGAATATCAGTTTGCTTGGACACAGCTATCTCAATGAGCTTAGTATTGTCCACGTAGCTACAAAAAGCAATTGTAAATCTGTTGAGCCATCCTCACTTTTACACCAGGAGACAATTTCACATTTTTCAAAGATGAATACTCTTTCGCACTTAATCGTCAAGATCAAGCCGAGAAAGACGACGCTCAAAGGAATAGATGGTGGGATGCCATTCTCTATTTTGTATTCATTGCTCAAGTTTATTCCAACAATCACTCTACAATTCTGCTTTCGGTCTAGTGATGCCTTTGACTTTGAAATCATTTGGAGACTGATTGACGACAAAACAGCACTACTAGTCCCTATATCGGATGCGGATGATAATGGAATTGTACTATTTTGGAAGTTTGCAACAAAACCAATACGCAATCCTTGGTCTCAGGCCGCCACATTTAAGACTTCAACTGTGTCACAAGCCGAGCCCAACCCCTTGCGTACTCTTACTCTCCCGAACGATGATGTGGCTCAACTCAGAGAGTTCCTGAAGGGGAAAACGATAATTCAGATGTCCAGGCTTACAAAGGACAAGCTAAGCCAATATCTAACAATATTTGGTATACCAACAACCTCAGATACACAATTGACTAATCTAAAGTTGGCAAAAGTACTATCCAAGGTATTAAGTGATCATAAAAATCAACAATCAAGGCCCATCTGACCAGATTGCAGATTGGATGGCTATCTTCCAGACGTGTGTTCAACAACAGTGGTTTCCCACAGTGAATAGAATATATTTTATTTGTTAGTTGTTAGTGTTTGTTGCTTTGTAATTCTTCTATTCTTTTTTGTCTTTGTTTGTGTTGGTGTTTGTTGGTGTTGGGGCCAGAGCCAGTGGTGGGTGTCCGCTGAATGTCCATCGTTGGAATACGTTTGTCTCATCGCATGATACAAATAGAGGAGTGTAAACGCCGAGTATATCGTAGTAATGGAAACACATGTTTGTTCTGGTATCGACAATCATGTAATAGTTTGTTCCAGCTACCGATCGGATTTCCAAATTGTATGGATCGTTTGAGACTATAGAAAAGTAGATGACATCGTCAGGATGATCAGGATCGTGTGCTTTATCGCCTGGCTTAATAGTTAATGAAGTAGTATCGTGCAACAGGATCACATTGGGATATATGTCCCAGCTTTGGGTAGAATCTCCAATACTTCCACAATCTCTCAGTCCAATTGGATTAGTGCCGTTGAATGATAAACAATGTGCATTGTCTCTTGAGGAAGTGATGAACTGTGATTTCAGGATAGGGCCGCCGTTGAGATTGATATTGTACTT